GGGGGGGGGGGTCAAATGGCCCCTGGACACTCGGCAAGATTCGCCCCAGAGAATTGCCCTTCACTGAGTGGATCGGGGCGGGGGGGGCAGAGCACAACCACCAGGCAGCGCCGTGCACACGTAAGGCCGATACCCCCCACGCCCAGGCCTGACCCCCCTCCTGGGGCGCCAGGGTCTCTCTCTGGCAGCGATGGCCATGCTGTTTCCCACACGTGTGCACACAGAGTCCCATGGGAGAAGGGGCCCATGACATGATGGCATGTTGGTATTACCCAGAAAGGCGGTGGAGTCTCCATCCCTGGAGGTTTTGAAGACCCAGGTAGACCAAGCCTTGTCTGGGATGATGGAGTTGGGGCTGGTTCTGCTTGGAGCAGGGGGACTGGATGTGACCCCCTGAGGTCCCTGCCCACCCTCATTGTCTGTGATTGCACGATTCTACCTTAGGAGGGGAAATTCCCACAGTCATCGGAGGGAGGCAGTGCCCCAAAGACTCGTTTCCACTGGGGTGGATCCTACCAGAGATAACTGCAGACACGTCAATGAGAGGGCGCTGGCGTAACCTCACACTGGGCTGAACAGTGACCCAGCTGAACCTGAACCTCTCCTTAGGCCGGATGACTTGGTAGCCTCTATGGACATTGCGTCCATCTCCATCTGTCTACCACCCTCCTCATCACGGTATCCACGGTAGGTGGACACCTCACCCCGGCAGCTAACAAGCGGGTGTAGCCATGCACTCCCGCTGAACTGCAGTCAGACTTGCTTCTTTTAAAAGGAGCATGAAAGCTGTTCCTGATCCTTGGGAAACACTGTTAGTCAAAAAACCCACCGGGATAGGGTCTTCTACTCTACAAAAATACGGTGCCTTCCAAGTGTTTTTTGCTAATCCTGGAACAAGGGGTGGATGGACCTCCAGCCTCTTTTTCTTCTCCAAATTTAAGGTGAGATGTAAAATTACAACACCTGGAGGAGGCATCACAGAAGAACAGGCATGTAGGGAGGCTTTTAACCCGTGATCTGCACATTGCTTGGTAGTAGAGGATAGAAGAATCGCTCTTGTGTGGATCTGGGAATGCACATTGCTGGTTTATTTTTTCTACAATGTTGGTGTCTTTTGGCTGCCACCAAGCTCAGGCGCCTGCGGTGCTGGGTGCTGCACTAATGTAGACACCTGTACACAATGGTCAATGGTGTAGTTGTAGCCGTATTGGACATACCCAGTGCTGGCTTGTATCTAGCTGGCTTGACTACCTAAAATAGCAAGGCCAGGCAACACAAGCATTACCATGGAGTGAGGTCAGCACCCAGGGACCCAAATGGATCCCATCCCTCCATGGAAAAATGTACCTGGATATGCAAATACCGACCGTGGTGTGAATGCCTAGTGCTTGTGCTGGTTTTGCTGGTGTTCCTCTAGGGTTATTTGGCTTGGTGGCTCCTGGCTACACATTGACTCACCTACTCACATTTTGCCCTTTAGACTTTCGGAAAAAAATTAACAGAGACCAGCCTCACCGCGGTGGAACAGACTCAGCAATGCAAGCAAGGTTTTACTGAAACACAGCTGGGCTCCCCTTAGGCAAGCATCCTCTGAGCAGTCACATGCACTTCTTCCTCCCACGGGCCAGCGTCTCCACCTCCTTCATGAAGCGGAGGCACAGCTCCTCCTGCCACGGCAGGGCCACGCACTGCACAGCCACGGGCAGCCCCACGGCTCCTTCCACAGCCTGCAGCGGAGACAGGAGCAGTGTCACGTTACCCAAATGCCCCAGCTTCCAAGGGCTGCACAAGATTTAATACACCAGTTAGGTCCTACTGGGCGTGTCTACACATGCATTTACTTTGCATTAAATTTACTGTGCAGTAACTTACTGCATAGTAAGCAGGTTTATGCTGGCATCTACATGTACAGGCATTAAAGTGCAGTAATACTGACTAACTAAAGTTAGTCCCAAGTTAGTCCACACACAGAGTGTTACCGTGCAGTAAGGTGCCTACATGTGCATTACTGCGCAGTAACTAATTGGCCTACATTTGATACCTGCATGATGCAGGTATGAAATTTATGCCAAAGTCAGCATAAGTTGCCATATTTACTGTGCAGTACAGGCATGCACATGTAGATGCTGCCCATACTGCACAGTCATTTTTGGTTATTGTGCAGTAATTTGGGTTGCTGCACAGTAAATTTGCTCATGTAGATGCACCCACTGAAGCCTTCAGAACAGGCCACTGATGCCTGCCCTGAAAGCACAGGAGATGGACCAGCCTATACCCCATTTTCCCATGGAAGGGAAGGGAAAAACCAAGCAGATCTGACTGCAGTGGCTTCCTGAGGGAAGATGCCATTCATGGGCATGATTTGCAGCTGGTTGCAGTTGAGATGGGACCACAGGACTTGAACCACAAGCAGCTCCAGTGAGAAAACTGGGTTCATTCTCTTGGATCCAGGGGCACTGCCTTGAGGACTGTTTATGCAAGAGGCAAGGATTTCGTAGGGTGATCTCTTTTATTGGATCAACTCTGTAGTTGGGATACAGTTAAAGAAGACCTAAGGAAGAATGTCTTACCTTCGAAAGCTTGTCTAACTTTATCCCAATTACACAGTTGGTCCAATAAGAGAGACCCTTGCCTGTTGCATTGTTTCTGGACCATCATGGCTACAGCATCACTCTTATACTGCTTGTGGACAGTTTCAGCATGGCCAGGGGAAAGACATTTGAGTCTTCAGGAAAATGTCCAATAGAACTAGTATTCCCTGCGGCTGATCTCTCCCATCCACACAGCGCTTCAAGCCCCGAGAGCCCCAACCTCACAATATTTCAGCAGAGAGACTTTCATTAGGTCATTATTTTCCTTCCTATTGGCTGACCTGTTTCAGCCTCTTATCCCAGGGATCACGGTAATGCCCGTGGTAACGGTTCAGCTGCTCTTCATCAGCCTCCGTGACGGTGGTGACTGGCACGACCCCAGCGGGGAAGTTTAAGACGTTGTATAGGTTGGTGTAGGACGTGGCAGCTGGAAGAGACAATGGGCAGAACATTGCCTGGCAGCTCAACAGGGTTGTCTCGTAGAGGTCCACAACCAACACAGCGCAAAGGGTAACAGCTCCTGGACACATCCCTGCCAAAAAGACCCCCCACCTCCACTCCTTTGCCACTGATCAGGGTGCCAGCAAGACCGCCCGTTTGAGTAAACTGAACAGGGTTTGGCCCTCAGATGTTTCCACTCAAGTTTATGTTATGTTCCTTAAAGTCACCATGGCAAATTAGAGAATCCAGCACAGAGAAACAGAAATGATAAGGTGTCTGGAAGGTAAGACTTAGGGGCAAAGGTTGAAAGAACCAGGGTCACTGAGTCTGGAGAAGAGAAGACTGAGGGGGGATTTGGCAACAGTCTTTAGATACCGAAGGGGTGATGATAGAGAGGATGGAGAGGGGCTTTTCTCGGTGGCTGTAGAGGACAGGACAAGGAGGAGAAGAAGTTTAGGTTGGTGATTTCTGGCTAAGAGGGTGGTCAAGCGTTGGAACAGGTGGCCTAGAGAGGTTGTGCAACCTCCATCCTTGGAAATTTTCAGACCAGGTTGAACAGACACTTGGCTGGGATGGGTTAATCAGGGATGGTCTTGTTATGAACAGGAGGCTGGACTAGATGTGACCTTGTGAGGTCCCTTCCATCCCTACTTTCCTTTGATGCTATGAACTGGAGACAGACAAGTGGGGTCTGAGCAATGAGGTCTGCTTGATACACAACGGCTTGTGGATCTTTGGTTTGGGCCAGATAAAGCCCTGTCTGTCTTGAAAGGTCACCATCCTGATTTATTTCTTTGTGCTGCTTGGCTGACCCTGAACTGCCAAAGGTGGACCCAGCTGGGGGGCTTACCAAAGAGCTTCCCAGGATATCCCTCATTAAAGGCAGGGCCCAGAGCAGGACACAAAATGACATTGAGTTGCAGCTTCCTCCATTTAGCAATGAATTCCTTACAGTAAACCTAGAGGGATGGAGACCAAATGTAAACCAGCTGAGACCTGCAGGACACCACCCTTAGCTTCAGTCCTGTGGCCAGGACAGAGCTTAACTGGTTCCAGCTGAGCTGTGATAAGTCTCTGGACAAGTTTTGGAGAAACAGGGCTGGACAAGGGAGCAATTCTCCTTCAGGCCATGGGGCCATTGTGTAGCTCCCACGCCACCCTCCTGCAGCATCATGCCAGCGGTTTCAAGTTGGGGGCAGCTGGGGCAATGGGGTGGGTATCTGCTGAATGGTGACTTCCCAGCTTTGCTCTCCCTGGGTCCGTCCTGCTGCATATTCAGCCAGGCTTATACCCCGCAGAGGTAGCGTTGCATGGTTTTCCCCAACCTTCAAGCCCTCATGACTGCGCCCTCCACAGTCACTGAAGAGAGCAGGGTTTTTGCTGCCCAAGGGACTGTGAAGCCCTGCTTGGCAAGGAGAAGGCTGCTTAAAGACAAACCCATGAAGATTAAGGATATGCCCAGTCCAACCCATACCCAAGTGCACACTCCCCTGCAATCTACACCTCCCCATGCATCATCCCCCCTGCAATGGCCTAGCTCCCAGGGGAAAATGCATTTGTATAACATAATCTGTGATCCATCCCAGCTGTGTGAGCCACCAGCACTTACACATTAACTCTCTCCCCCCAGAAAACCTCTTTGCTATTTACAGTGAGGGAAAAAGAAAAAAAGGAATTACCGCTAGGGCAGCGTCCTGCTTCCACAGGTTTTTCACTGACCTGGAAAAGGCACAGACCTGAGATAAATAAACTTGGTGTGTTTAGAGCGCTTTCCTGGTCCAGCGCACTGTAGAGATCTTGACTTGTCTTCCCACACCTCATCCTTGCAACGTGATGGGGCAAACATCATGTTTCCCCCCATTTGGTTCATGGATGGGGAAAGCTAGGTGGAGAAGGGAAGAAACTGGCCTGCAGTCACAGAGCAAGGGAGTAGCGCAGGAGTTGGGTCTCTGTGCTCATTCATCCAGGTCTTTCTGGCTCTGAACATAACCTGACCAGGGCCGGATTAATGCACAGGTGAATTAGGCACATGCCTAAGCTGCGGGGGGCCCTGGTCCTTCCCTCCGTGGCGGTGGCACGAATGGGCCCATCGGCCTCTTCCCTTTTCTTCCCTTTGCTTCCCTTCACCCCCACCAGCCTCGCCACCACGGGGGCTGTTTCTTAGCGGCGTCTCCAAGCCCTGCTCCCCGCAGGCAGCAGCGCCGGGGTGGGGAGGGGGGTCTCAACCGGCCTGGGGCCCATGAGTTTGTTTGCCTATGGCCCACTAAAGGGTTAATCCAGCCCTGAACTGGACCCAGCGTCCATTCAAGTCAACGGGCAGACCTTGTTCACCGGAGGTGTTGGCTTCCAGCTCTTAGGCTCTCAAGACACAAGCGTTATTGAGTTTGTTACTTGATGCCCGTGAGCCACTTCTGCCTGACTCCAGTCTCTCTAGAGCGGCGATTCCCAGCCGGGGCGCTGCAGCACCCCAACGTGCCTTAAGACCCTTTCAAGGGTGCCACACAGTGTCAATGCTGTTAGCGGTGCTAACACGATTCACAAGACAAACTCAGAGATTTCAAATGGCAGTCCCCACTGTTACAACCGTTCTGCCCTGCGGTAGGCTTTCTGACCGCTCTGCCATAAAGTAATAGCTCTAGGATTTTTCTGTAGTCAGAAGAGAAGTGAAAACCAGGAGCTGGCATTTTCTGAGAGGGGCCTCGAACCTAATGACAGGTGCCTTGAGTCTGAAAATGTTGAGCGCCATTGCTCTACAACCCCAAGAGCTGCAATGAGATGGAAGGGGCTAATCTCCTCTCTGGCAGTACGTGCAATCTTCACGATATTCTTCCATCCGAGCTGGAAGAGGACTGTCATTCTTAGCACCACCAAGAAACCCCCAAGGCATGTTTTTAACCTTTGCTTGAAACACAAAGTCTTTGCCATCCTGCAAAGCATCTAAATGGGTGGAGAAATTCAAGCATTTAACAAATCCCACCAACACCCCAGGGGGGAAATAGGGGTTTATAGCTAACAAGAGGGTGGAGCACTTAGCCACATCGGATGCATCCACATGAGTGGGAACATGCATTTTCCCAGGGACAAAGAGCAGTGGCACAACGTGTGCCGGTGCAACTTGTCCCTGGGAAACCCCATGCACGCACGCTCTGGCGTGCAGCACGTTGTCCTCAGTGGGGTAGGGGAGGCTGGGATCGGCACCTGGGCTGGCCCCTGCAGCCTTACCTGGGATCCTGGGGACCTCCAGGGGTTGCAGTTTTGGCAATCCCCAAGCAGGGAGCCTGGCTGGCAGCTGGAGTGTGACTTTGGCTGGCCGGGCTCTGGTTTCCGATGGTGCATGCTGTTTTTTTTAGGTGTAGGGATTTTTGACATCGGGATCTCCCAGTGTCAACCCCCCCTGCAAATTAGCAGCGTGGAGAATGCCTGCAGGTGTGGCATATGTGGCGTGTGGCACTGCAGATGGGTTTGCGGCACCGAATACCACACGTGCATGCTCGTCTGGATGCGCCCATAAGGGCCAAAACCGAGCCGAGATGATCAGTACACCTGGAGGAAAAGGCCTCACGAATCAACCTGTAGGATCCCAGCCTAAGAAGAACACCCCTAGCCATAAGTCAAGAGCTGGGTCACCTGCACAGCAGGCTGGATGCTGGCATGCACCAATGCAAATTCTGCTTTGCTTCAGGCTTAGCCAGCTCTTCCTCGATGAGCTGCTGCTAAAATAAAGTCCTTACCTGGTACAGCTATAGACCATACCTCAAGCTGTGCATGTGTTTTATCCTGTAATCAGCCATCAACCACCCATCCCAAGGTCGGTGAAGCTGACACTGTGTTTTAAGATGGGATCATAGGAAAGTTGGGCTGGAAGGGACCTCATAAGGTCCTCTAGTCCAGCCCCCTGCTCAAGGCAGGATCATCTCTGACTAAACCTTCCCATCACGTCGCTGCCTAACCATCTCTTGAAAATTTCTAAGGCTGGAAATTCCTGGGTAGCCTGCTCCAAAGCTTAACCATCCTAATCTCCTGCCTAAATTTCCTCTGCTGCAGTTGGAGAGAGGAGAGCTACAAACCTTACTATCCTTCATACAAGCTCCCCATCCCCACGCCTATTTGAACATGATGTTTAAAAGAAAACCTGCTTACCCAGCCCCACAGAGCGCTTTCAGATCTCCAGCAATTCGAGGATACTGGAAGGAAATAAAATGTTGTATTAGCTCCATAGCGCAGCAGACGGAGACGCACAGGAATAACCCAGCTGGATCAGAGATGAAAGCCACTGGTTCACGGTCACCGTGATTTTTCCGGTGGACTCAAGGGTGCTTTGTCTGAGGGACTGAGAGCAGATCTTCAGCTGGTTTGATTTTAGCAGAGCCATGTCGACTGACACCACCAAAGATCTGGCTCAATGGGTGAAAAAAGTGGTAGTGAATTAGTTGGCAAAATTCACCCATTTTGCAGTCCCTTTGCCAAGTCCTTCGTGATTAACTCATCTCCCGTTCAGCCCACGTAGGTTCATCACCATGGACTATCTTCCGAGGAAAAGACACGGGCAAACTGAAAACAGTCCAGCAGTGGGCAACAGAAATGATCAGAGGATCTTTGAGGAAAAGTTGGAAGAATTGGGATTGCTTAGTGGGGAGCAGAGAGGGCTGAGGGGAGAGTTGATAACAGCCCTTGAATACAAACAGATGTGCAAAGGATGGTGATAGATTATTCTCGGCATTCAAATGAAGCAGGACAAGAAGTGCTGGGGTGAAATTGTAACCAGGTTGGTTACTGGGAAGACCTTTTGGGTGTTTTGACACTGGAACAGCTTCCCCGAGAGCCTAAGAATTTATCTACATGGGGAGTTATCCCAAATGAGCTATGTCTGATTAAACTAATTTGGAACAAGACTTTCTTATTCCAGAATAAGATCATCTGCACCAGGAGTTAATCCAGTTGAAGGATGCACTAACTTTACTCCAGAAAATCTTCCTTGTATAAGCAAATGAGCCCGATGTAACTCACCACTGGTTTTAAGAGGAGAGCCAGAATCTTCTTTGCTAGAATCGGCAGTCTGTAACAATTAATCTGGGACTTCAAGGTGGGATCCACAATATCTCCTTCGCTGGAAGGCAACAGAGAAAACAAGATGCTGAGGCACTACTTACCTACTGCAACCAATGTCAGTTTGATTGTATATGAATCCTGGTGAAATATGTTGTTATCTCCAGCTCAACCCTAAGCCAATATCTTTACACTGGAGTAAATCTCAGGATGGACAGATGGATGAAATGGGTTGACATAGCCTACTTAATGTCGATCTTAACTCCTCCCAACAAAGAATCGACTTCCTGTCCAAAACATGCCTGTTGGATCTTCCACTTGCATGAGTAAAATAAGTGGCAACTTATTTCTCTTGAGGTTTCCATAGGCATTTTGGAGCTCAAAGGCTGCGTTGCTTAGAGCTTTCTTGATAACACATTGCAGAGTCTACTTACAACTTCTCCAGCAAAGTGGAGACTCCATCAGAAAAGATGCCTTTGGTGAACAGCTCATCCACCGCATAATTGATCCGAGGGGGAGCAAAAGGGACCAGCTGTGTGACAAAAACAACACAGTTCAAGAGGTAGCAAAGATGTGGGTGAAATCCCAGCCCCGCTAAAGCCCATGACAAAATTCCTGTTGAGTTTGCTCAGGCTGGGAATTCAGCCTGAGCGACTGTGTTCCACATCCACCTCTTAATCGTGGCAATGAAAGGACGTGACGCTCACATGAGGGGACCCTCCATATTGTCCCAGTGACATGGACTCATCGATGTTTTGGTCCATGTCCTGCTGAGCTCCAAAATCTCAGCGGCCTCAAGCTGCTCTGAACATGGGATGGAAACCAAACAGTGATGCTCTTTCATCTGCTAGAGGTGCCACAGGGACTTGGTACTATCCACAGATCCTAATAACACCTTCCAAGTCAGGCTGCATACCGTATGCCCTGCTTGTTTGAGAAGCACTTTAGTTTCCTGGACAGCACGTCTCATGCTAGGAGAGGGCTGGAAATAGCCATCGCCATCATAATACCCAATCCGAAGGGGTCTGGAGCTGGAGTACACCTGAAAGAAGAGATACCTTCACTTAGTATCTTGACCACTGTAGGTGCATTGAGTTAAAAGACTCTTCCAAGAAGCCCAAGCATGTAGAAAGATGCAGTGATGGGAGTGCTCATCATACTATAGTCTCACCGGGGAGGTTCAACAAGGATTCAATGGGTAATAGAGGCTCATTCAAAGGTACTGTGGAAAAGAAATGCAAAGGGGATAGGTGGGAAGCTGAAACAGTATTCCTGTGTTACACCCTTGTAAGGATCTCAAGACACCCTGGTTAAGAATCATTTCGCTAGTCCCTATCTCTATCACCTAGTGGAGAGGTATTGTATTGTGAACAGCTACTTTGGGGGCACATCTACACGTGCATATTTACTGTGCAGTATGGGTGTGTGCCTATATGTGCGTGCCTGTACTGTGCAGTAAATATGGTGATTGATGCCAACTTGATCATAAATTTGGTATCTGCATCATGCAGGTATCAAATTTATTCCCAATTTAGTTACTGTGCAGTAACGCACATGAAGATGCCTTACTGCACAGTAACACTGTGTGTGTTGACTGACTTGGGACTAAGTCAGTCCACACACCGTGTTAATGTGCTTTAATGCCTGCACATGTAGACAGCGGCCTATTCCTGCTTACTGTGCACTAATTTACTGTGCAGTAAATTTAAGGTGGCATAAATGTCACATATAACATGAAACATTTTCTCCAGTTAAAGAGAAACTAGAAGACATACCAATATGCTAGATGGCCTAGTGCCATATTATTCAGTTTAAGATCAAAACAGAAACAAATATAACTCTATCGGAATGCACTCTAATATGCTAGGTTATATATTAAATTTA